TGTTTACCTATCCCTGTATCCTTAGTTCTATAACATCCTGTTTACCTATCCCTGTATCCTTAGTTCTATAACATCCTGTTTACCTATCCCTGTATCCTTAGTTCTATAACTCCTTGTTTACCTATCCCTGTATCCTTAGTTCTATAAGACCCTGTTTACCTATCCCTGTATTCTTAGTTCTATAACACCATGTTTACCTATCCCTGTATCCTTAGTTCTATAACTCCTTGTTTACCTATCCCTGTATCCTTATTTCTATAACACCCTGTTTACCTATCCCTGTATCCAAAGTTATATTCCTCAGCATTTACCTATCGTTGTACCATAGTTCTATTACTTCTTGTTTACCTATCTAAAAAAGGGAAAATATCACTTCTCGGCTTCTCCATGGTGAGCATGATGATCCTGTTGTACTTCTTGGCGTGGTGGGAGAGAATGGATACGATGAAGTATGTGTTTAAAGGATCCAGGTCCCATGTCGGTTCATCCAGTAGGAGAAGGACTAAAGAAGGAAACCAGGGTTTAAAAGGGTTGTTTATAGCTTATCTATATATAAATTTGGCTTGTCTGTCTGTTTGTTTGTTTGTTTGTCTGTTTGTATCCAACAAACGTCAAAACGGCTGAACCGATCGGGTCCAAACTTTTTGTGGGACATCACTTGACCACAGGGAAGGTTTATGATTGATCAAAATTTTAAATATTTGTCTCCATCAAAATTCGATCTTCATTAAATTTTTGAAAATTTTGAAATTCCACGAAATTTTTTGTGAAAATCCGCGAATTATTTTTGTTTTGTTTTACGATGTACACAAAGAGAACATGTTCACAATTAATTTAGAAGATGGGCGCGAAGCGCCCTCTAAGGCTAGTATTTAAAAAAAATTTTCTAGCAAAAAACAACTCTATCCCATTATAGCTTTTTGGCATCCACACTAATGACTAATTTAAATTAACTTAGTAGTTACAAGTTGATTTACAAAGGTACTTTTTGATCTGATCCAAAGAAGGCTGAAGATATTCTTGTTTTTCTAAATAAATATTGATAATCTTTAATTTGGATTTATTCATTTCATTAACTTCCTTATGGTTACTGAGATAAAGTGTTAATAGGAGAAAATACATACTTGGATCCCGGACTAGCTGAACCCCTATACAGAGCCTCCTATACTCCGGGGTAGTGAGAGAGCTGACCGGTCTATTGCTGACCTGGGTCAAAGCAAGGTCAGCTAGTACTACCTTCACCCGGGACTCCTTCACATACCCAGATACCTAGGTTATCCTAATCTTTAGGAGACGAATTATAGGTTGTCTTTGATTTCCCATAGTTAACGATATCAGGCAATTTTTGATAAATTAGACTATTTTGACTTTAGTTTAATAAATTAAAACCTGAAAAAAAGGTTTTAATTTTTCTGTTAAATACCCAAATTTTCTAATCTCTTTATCTTTGCAACTTGATTGTGTAAACTTTCAATATTTAATACTTAGCATATTTTATCTTACAGAATGTTAAAAGTGTATAGTATCAAAGGTCTATTGGACATATCAAAGGACATTGGGTTGCAAAGATGTAGAGGTAAGAAAATCACAGATTGTGCCAAGAGCAGAGTTCCTTTCAGATCACATTTAGAAATTCAAAGTCTTTCTTTAATATTATTTGTTTCAAATATAATACTTAACTGAAGATTTACTATTTAGAATTATTATATTTAAGAAAGATAGGAATGAATTGAGAAAAAAGTCTTTGAATTATTATTTTTCTTTAGGAAGTCTTACCACAGCAAAGAATTCAGAAATTTATATGATTTCCTTCATGAAACAGTTCACCCTGAAGACATTTTACTAAAAGCAGACTTCTTTTCAATTAAAAGCAGGAAGGAAATATAAGAGAAGAAACCCGGATATTAGAACAGATTGGAGCATATATTACCTTTTTTCCAATAGTAAGATTAGCAGCGTATCTAAGTGTCTGATAAACTGATAAACCTGGTAAAAGATCACACTTCTGGGTCACATAACCACAATTCTCCTGAGGAAAAACAAAATATTGAGAATTTATCCATCAGTAAAATTAAAATAAACATGAGCGTGGATAAAAACTTGTTTTAATTCAATAAAATTGTTTGTTAAAACCAAGCTGAATTAATAAAATCAGATTTAAATCAATTAAAACAAAGCTGAATTAATAAAATCAGATTTAATTCAATTAAAACCAAGCTGAATTGATAAAATCAGATTTAAATCAATTAAAACCAAGCTGAATCAATATAATCAGATTAAAATCAATTAAAACCAAGATGAATCAATAAAATATCAGATTTATATCAATTAAAACCAAGCTGAATCAATAAAATCATATTTAAATCAATTAAAACCAAGCTGAATCAATGTAATCAGATTTAAATCAATTAAAACCAAGCCGAATCATTAAAATCATATTTAAATCAATTAAAACCAAGCTGAATCAATATAATCAGATTTAAATCAATTAAAACCAAGCTGAATTAATATAATCAGATTTAAATAAATTAAAACCAAGCTGAATCAATATAATCAGATTTAAATCAAATAAAACCAAGCTGAATCAATATAATCAGATTTAAATCTATGAAAACCAAGCTGAATCAATAAAATCAGATTTAAATCAAATAAAACCAAGCTGAATCAATATAATCAGATTTAAATCAATTAAAACCAAGCTGAATTAATATAATCAGATTTAAATCAATTAAAACCAAGCTGAATCAATATAATCAGATTTAAATCAATTAAAATAAAGCTTAACATTTAAAACAACGCTGAATGAATAAAAACAAACTTTTTAACTTTGAACTTGTGTGTTGCGGATCTCGGTATCAAGTATTAGTCTCCATTTTATGTAGACTTATGGATTAATTTAATTCCTTTTTGCTATCCCTTTGTGGTTATACCCTGCAGGTATATTTAATCAGATCCTCAAGTTTAAAAGTGTGCACATATCACTTGAAATTACGACGAAAAAAATTAGAAATATTTGTACCTGGAAAAGTCTCATAGACATCGGAGCTCCGTTGAGTAGAATCTGTCCTCGTGTCGGACCCTGAGCTCGTCGAGATATCACTTCAAGGAGAGCTCTCTTCCCTGAACCTAAAAATATATTTATTCAACATTTTTTATGAACGTTTAAAAAAAAATTTTAATCATTGTTTTAAACCCAAATCTTCCAGAACTAAATCTGATAAACGTTTCTTGAACTGAATCTAAAAAATTCCGAAAAATTTACCTTTTGATCCTAGGACGGCAGTAAGCTCTCCGCCATGAACCTCCAAAGAAACATCCTTTAAAATTACTCCGGTTCTAACAGAACCAACCAGCTTCTGTAGGCAGGTTCCAGGTTCTACCTAGAGATAAAACAATCCTAGATAACTACTCCGGTTCTAACAGAACCAACAAGCTTCCGTAGGCAGGTTCCAGGTTCTACCTAGAGAGAAAACAATCCTAGAAAACTTCTCCGGTTCTAACAGAACCAACCAGCTTCTGTAGGCAGGTTCCAGGTTCTACCTAGAGATAAAACAATCCTAGAAAACTTCTCCGGTTTTAACAGAACCAACCAGCTTCTGTAGGCAGGTTCCAGGTTCTACCTAGAGATAAAACAATCCTAGAAAACTTCTCCGGTTCTAACAGAACCAACCAGCTTCTGTAATTGTGTTTAATTGTTTTCACTAAAGTCTGAAAATGTTCATACTGTGGTAGGCGATTATATCAATATAAGGAAGAAGACTTATTTATTTAAGTTTTAATTGTTAACAAGTTTTTTTTTAATTACAAGTTTACAAGTAATGAAGAAGAATCTGTTTTTAATTGACAGCTTCTCTTTGTTTCTATGTTTTAGTGCATCCATGCTGTTCAAACGCTTGAAATAAATCAAAATTGAAATCGAAAGTCGTAATTATTATATTGATATAACCGTAGTACATATTTTTGAATTAATTAACCGTCTTTCTATTTTTATATCTAAAATAATATTATTATACAGCTCTCCATGTTACCAGAAGAATTTTCTGTTAAGAAAACTTGGGATTCTGATATGTGAGCAATTCGTAAAATATCTATACTAGGACGTACAGGGTGTCCTACGAAACATGACAGATGGTGAATAGTTTAGATAGTCTTCTTCCATAATTTGTTAGGTTGTTTGATACAAAGAAAATAATAAAATGTTATACGGGAGTCACGTTATAGTAAAATTGATTTCAAAGTAAAATATATTCAAGCAAAAGATTTTTTAACGAAATAAACTGCAAAAAGCCTTTAATGTCTAATACAGTATATGGAAGACGACATTCATAACTATTTATCAACTGTCATGCTTTGTGGGACACCCTGTATGTAAACTCAAAGGAAGAAATAGAGGAAAAATAATATTTTTTTTTATGCATTAGCTCTCTGTCTATCTATCTATCTACTTGTTTATTTATAAATTGGTATATTTATCTTTATTTATCTATCTAAATAGGTATATTTATCTTTAATTACCTATCTAAATAGGTATATTTATCTATTCATCTATCTATCTATCTATCTATCTATCTATCTTTCTATCTATCTATCTATCTATATATCCATCTACCTATCCTACCTGTCCTGAATGGAATACGTTTCCAAGTTCCAGAATATATTCTGCAGTCATCATTGCTTCCAACCTGGAAATAAACAATTCAATAAATTTTAAATATTTTCTATTTTCAGTAAACATTAGACAGAAGGAGGTCACTCAGCTCTGGTACGACTTTGTGACCTCGTTGCTCCTGTGGTATTGATTCCACGTCCGAGTATTCGAAAAATAAGAAATAAAAAATAAGAATAAAAAATAAGAAAATCCAAACGTTGTTCCAAGAGGAGTTATGATTGAAAGCTTTCAAGCTAGCGTACACTTTACACCAGTTAAATTTTAGTCTTAACAAACATGTATTGTTGGAGTAAATTTTTGGTTTTAGAAAAAGACGACAAAATTTCATGTGGATTATCAGATTAACTAGAACCTATTCTTGAAAGTGAACATTCACTTTAAAGTGTAAAAAATAGTTCCAATATTATATTTAGAAAGAATATTTTCTCCACTTTACAATATTTGGTATTTTATTCCTATTATTAGAATAATCTTAATAGAAATTTTACGTATTTGAATATTTTTCGTATTTGATACTTTTTAAAACTGCACCAACAAGCTTCTACGGTATAAAACTGCACCAACAATCTAGAAAATATGGTGCAGCTTCTACGGTATAAAACTGCACCAACAATCTAGAAAATATGATGCAGCTTCTACTGTATAAAAGGAAAAATCTATTAGAAAACAAACGTTTTAAAGTTCTAAAATGATAAGCAAAATTTTTATATTATTTTTTATGACTCGATCTTTATGTCTTGTTAAGAAAATGTCAGAATACTGAGCTTTTTTAATCAAGAAAATATTATTTTTATTTCGAATTTAGATTGTCAAGAAAACAATAAGTTTTTAGGTATTCGTACAACAAAAAAAGACAATATCTTTTATAAAAAAAGGAGAATGTTGTTGTGCGAACCTTTGATGTTGAGGTTTACGGAGACTTAAGTGTATTTAAGCTTTTAAAAGTATGAAGGCTGGGTTTCCAGTCACAATGAGATACACAACAGACTTAAAAAAAAATTTATATTGACGATTACGAAGATTTAAATATCACCCTTTTCTACGCCCTGTAAATTTGAATTTTATCTACCTTCTTCTCTTGTCGACCTTTTCTACCTTTTAGATTGACCAGATTTTATAAAAGTCACAATACTTAGAAGTTATATTTCATTAAGTACAGGTATAGTTCTTTTTTGAATGGCCCCCATTCAAATCTTCAACTAGTTCACATCAAAATATGCTCAGATCTGAAAACTTAAGAATTGTGAATATCATGATTAGTGCTTGATCTCATCTTTGTTTTAATCTCAAGATTTATTTAATCTTTTGTTTGTATCCAGAAAATTGTATAAAATTCAACCAACTAGAGAGGATTAAGCAGAAATCAAATGTCCACAATGAATATTCAGATTAACTGATCGGTTTTGAACACTAAAATATCGGACCGAATAAATTTAACTTATTCCGTTTCTATAAAAGTGTCCAGTCCTGTTTAGTTATAAACCGGTTTTGCTAATGCATAATATTTAAAGTTTCCCTCCCTTTTATATTTAAATATTGTTAGTGCCTGGAATACCATAAATGTAAGCTGCTGCTGTGGCACACCTTTTAAACATATATTGAAACAATCTCACACTTATTCTGACACAGTTTTTATTTTAGTTTTTTTTTCGTTCTTTCTCCTTTTTCTATTTTCATCATTTATCAAATATTTTTGTCAAATAATTAAAAGGACTATTTATATTATTCCAAGTAACCAAACATTTCAAAATTGGAGAATTTTCAACTGTAGTTCAGTGAAACCCTTAATAACGAATACAACGAAAGAATTCATCAAATGTCGTATTCTTCACTTTCTGATAATGGAATGTTGCCGATATTTAGTTTTTTTAATTAAATGTTTATATGGAACTCTTTAAAACTGTTCCCGCATATTCATGACTATTTATTTATTTTCGCAAATACTGAAATTTACGTAATATAGTTTAAAACTCATTGAAAAATTGTCAAGACGACATTTGATAAATTCTTCCGATGTATTTGTTATTAAGGGTTTCACTGTATAAAAATTACTTGTAAGGACGTATTCAGCTCAGACACGGAAGGAAATTGACAGAATTGATATGTTTTCAAGATATAAAAAACGACGATATCTTTCTCAGTAATTCTCTATAAAGGTTTGGTCCTGAGTACAGGGTTTCTCACAAAGGATGAGACTTCAGAAACGATTGTACGTCATTCATAAACTGTCAAGGTTTCTTTTATCTTCATGACTCAATCCAATTGTAAATTTGTTTCTTTCTTTGCCACATCATTAAATAAGCCATTAAAAACAATATTTGGGAAAGAAGACTTAATTAATCATTGAAATGATCGTTTTTTCAGAGTTTCAGGTCGTCTTTACCGTCTCATACTTTTTGTATATAACTGTATATAACTTTTTTAAATGGTGGCTCACTTAAATCATGTTGACAGTCCCTTTAAAATAAATTATGTTAAAATAAAAGCGAACCTCCATCCTGTTACAGGAATATTATCATCCTCGTAGTTGGAAATATTCTCCTATCCTCACAATCCGTCAAAATTATTCTCTCATTCGTGTGAAATATATTATTACCCCCCCCCCACACACACTCTAAGGGCCCTTATGAAGACCTCAACCCCATGAGCACATTGACGGTTTTCCTTATCAAGTAAGTTGTGTCCAGCAATTCTTTGCTGTTGGATTAATTGGTTCTTGTTCTTGAGAATACCCTGAGGAGCAGTCGTCTTCAATCCAGGAGGTTGACGTGGAACCTCGGAGCACACAGTTCCAGAGAATTCGAGGATTTTCCCACGATTGCTGGAGAAATATTCGTTCCTCGTCATTTTAAAACTCGTTTACGATATGCTACTGAGAAACCAAAGATCGACAAGATCATTGTTGAAAGATCAATGATCACAAAGTGATCTTTTCATTCCTTCCCTTCTATCTCCATGCCCGGATCAGATCATATTTTGGCAGTTTCCTCCAGGACTGGAGCTCAACTAAACTTGGAATGGACATCGCTCCGTGTAGGACTGGGAGTAGGGCTGTTCAGATCTCTTAATACTTCAAGTTTGCTAAACCTTGCGTTTTGATAGAAAAACAGTTAGGGAGGATATTATTGGCAATTATTTTGTTTATAAGTGTTACTTAAAAGTATTTCAATTTCAACATATGCATGTTATAAAAAACTGTTATAATCATATTACGTAGGTTTATGTCATGGTGAAACTATTATAATAAAGAGCAGTACGTTATGGTTTTAAAACTTTTTAAATTAAAAAAAAAAATTTATTATTATAATAACGATAAGCTTATAATTATTATTAATATTTGACCGTATATCTGTGAGAGAATTATGGTCTAGTAAGGTTAGAATATTATATCTAATACTTATAGATGTAATTAATTATTTCACATAATTATTAAATGAAAAAGTTTTTATTTATTTCCATAAATATTATGCAGGCAGCACGACACCATTTATCATTTTGTTTGCAGTGTTGAAGTAAAGATTAATCAAGTTAACAACTAGCATTTGTCAAATATTATTCAACAACTTGAAATATTGGTTCGTGACACATCTATCAGTTCAGAAAATAAAACAGAGAAGAATTAAATAGAACCATTAATGAATCTTTTTACCGGCAATCAAGGGGTTTCTGTTCTATTTTTCTTGACATGCCTTTTCAGAAGGGATAATTTTGTTGACGGATTTCTGTACAAAACTGGTAGATTTGAAGTAATTTCAATGGGTATATTATCCGTCCTTAAAACGATAAAGGATTAATATTATCCTTTGAAATGTTTTTCCTTTAAAAAATTGAAAAGGGTTGGTTAGAGCATTTACCTTTAATCATAGAATTCTAGTTAGAACAATCCTAGCCAAGTAGATCTTTTTAAACAGTTCTAGATAAGGAATCCTAGATTAAACACCCCTACTCAAGGAATTCTTGTTTATAAATTTAGGAAAAAAGTCCAAACATTCTAGCTTGAACACCCTTAGTCCAGGGATCATAGTTTTAAACAACCCTGGTTCAGGTGTTCTAGTTTAAACACCCCTAGTCCAGGGATTATAGTTTTGCACACCCCTAGTCCAGCAGTGATTTTAGTTTGAACAACACGAAGTCCAGGGATTCTAGTTTAAACACCCCAAGTCCAGGAATTCTAATTTTAACACCCCTAGTCCAGGGATTCTAATTTAAACCACCCTAGTCCAGGGATTCTAGTTTGAACAACCGTAGTCCAGGGATTTTAGTTTAAACACCCCTAGTCCAGGGATTCTAGTTTGAACACCCCTAGTCCAGGGATTCTAGTTTGACCAATCCTAGTCCAGGGATTCTAGTTTGAACACCCCTAGTCCAGGGATTCTAGTTTGAACACCCCTAGTCCAGAGATTCTAGTTTGAACACCCCTAGTCATGATATTCTAGTTTGAACACCCCTAGTCCAGGGCTTCTAGTCTGAACACCCCTAGTCCAGGGATTCTTGTTTGAACACCCCTAGCCCAGGGATTCTAGTCTGAACAACCGAAGTCCAGGGATTCTAGTTTTTAACACCTCTAGTCCAGGGATTCTAGTTTGAACACCCCTAGTCCAGGGATTCTAGTTTGAATAACCGTAGTTCAGGGATTCTAGTTTAAACAACCGTAGTCCAGGGATTATAGTTTTGAACAACCCTGGTTCAGGGATTATAGTTTTGAACAACCCTGGTTCAAGGATTCTTGTTTTGAACAACCCTGGTTCAGGGATTATAGTTTTGAACAACCATAGTCCAGGGATTCTAGTCTGAACAACCGTAGTCCAGGGATTCTAGTTTGAACCCCCCTAGTCCAGGGATTCTAGTCTGAACAACCGTAGTCCAGGGATTCTAGTTTTGAACACCCTTAGTCCAGGAATTCTAGTCTGAACACCCCTAGTCCAGGGATTCTAGTTTGAACACCCCTAGTCCAGGGATTCTAGTTTGAACACCCCTAGTCCAGGGATTCTAGTTTTGAACACCCTTAGTCCAGGGAATCTAGTTTGAACACCCCCAAGTAGAAGGATTCTAGTTTGAACACCCCTAGTCCATGGAATCTAGGTTAAACAACCCTAGTCCAAGGATTCTAGTTTGAAAAACCCTAGTCCTGATATTCTAGTTTGAACAACCTTAGTCCAGGGAATCTAGTTTGAACACCCCTAGTACAAGGATTCTAATTTGAACACCCCTAGTCCAAGGATTCAAGTTTGAACAACCCTAGTCTAAGGATTGGCAAGATTCCTCGTAAGCATGCTCTTAAGTTAGTAAACATTCATATTCACATATACACACCTTATTCTAAACATTAGAACCCTGAGTTAGATACAGGGTCTTTCAAAAACAACGGACGGGAGTTGAAATGTTTATTTGGACACACTGTAAGAAATGAATTTTCAACACTTTGTATGAAAAAAGGGTATAATATTGGATTTAATAATCCAAAATATATCAAGCAAAATATCATTTATCAATTTAACAATATACATAATTCAATAAATATAGAGAATACAATTTGTGAATTTTTATGTTCTATATAGATTTGAAGAAAAGAACAGTTTGATTTAACAATATAATTCGAGGATGTTTTTAAAAGCTTTTTATGATGATGGTTTAGGAATACTTGCATTAATCGATTTTTCTATAAAAATAAATCATAAACATATAACACATGTTTTGTCTTTGACACACATATTTTTTACAAATCCCCCAAATTAAGGAAAAAAACAACAAATATTTCTTCTCTCAGTTGTCCATTCCTATAAAGTATACTATGTTAAACAGAAATCATTGGAACAATTTTCATCTTAATTATTTCTCACACTTTGAAATTTTGCTAAAGATTTTTTATTTGTGCTTTGAATATTTTCAGAAATATATTATTGCTATAACAATAACAGATTAACTAATAGTACAGGTTATAATATGATATAAAAAAGGCTCGGTTAATTGCCTCATTTTCATTTTCAGGATTAAAATCTGACTTTAAGTCTTTAATAAAATTCGGATAATCTCGGGATTCATAAATATTTTCCTGTTAATCATAATTTATTTTTTTTATTCCCAGGCGGTTTATCTGACATTAAATAGGACAAAGGCACAACACGGTCTAGAGGCAGGGGGGGGGGCCGGGGGGGTTCTCTTAAAAAAAAACACCGTCCCCCCCTTCCTCGGGCCTGGAGTGAAAACAATTAAACATGATTATCGATTCGTAAAACATTTTCTAGTTGTGATTTGGCTGCCATTTCCCTGGCTAGCTAGCCAGGACGTCGCAGCTGGAAAATTTCTAACGAATCAGACAAATAAAATTTCGTAAGCGAAACCCTGTTCTAAAACTAGAAAACGTTTAAGTTGCAGACTCAGTTGAGGTTAATAAGCACATTTCCGCGTCAGCGCGGCGTACATATATCTCTAAAGTGTACAATTGTTCTCAAGTACACTGAATAGAAAAACATCAATAATAAATCGGTGTATCGTATTTTAAGACTAAAGAATGTCCGAGGACTGGACTGAGAAAAAGTGTTCTAGCGTAGTGGTTACACAGGACGGAGAGAAGAATAGGTTTCTAACCTGTGGATCCGTTTCTCCTATTTCTCATCTCATCTTTGAAGTAAGGATCGTCTAAATTTCATAAGTAAGATCTACACCGCGTGACCGCAATAAAGATTTAAGTCAAAATTTTAGTTACAAAGCCAATTTTAAAGCGTTGCCATGCCTTTAAAGTGAATGTTCGCGAAAAATGAAAGGGAGTATAGGTTTAATGCATTTTTGATCGCTACTAATCTTACTTCTATCTGTTGCGTCTGTAAGGAGAAAACTGTTAAATTGTCTCATACCGAAGAACGTAGTGTCCATACAAATTGAGAAAATTGCAACATACGACTTAGACCGTAAAAAAATCGATTTAATTTCAAACAAATCATTCAGATATTACAACCTATAGTCATCGATTATCTTTCGCCACATTTATATATAGTTGATTTTTCATAATATGTTTTAATTGTTATGATCTGAGAGTTACATTTATTCCTGTTTCGAGGATTTTTGGTAATGAAGACGACATTTTCATATTTTCCAGGAATGTTCGAAAACAAGTTGTAAGCTAAATATTATTTTAAAAAACAAAATCAAAAATCGTTTTTTAGGACAGACCCCCAGACTTTTTTTTTTACTTAAAAAACAAAAACAGATTATTTTATGCTGATTGAGATTACTGGCTTGGTGAAAAGGAGTTATATAATTCTATCTCGAAAAGTATGTCCGATTTACAACGGTACCCTTTGAAGCTTTGTCTGACAAAGTATGAAGTAGATATTCATGTTTTTGTTTTAAAATCTGATTAATTAATTTGTGGATTCTCTGCAAAAGTGACTCAACATTTCTTGCTTCAAAAATGATGGATAAATTATTAAAACTAAAAACTTAAAAACGACGTTATCTTTCACATTTGTTATCAGATTAAGGTTTCAAGGGTACCGTTGTGAATTGGTGGGGGGGGGGGGGGGGGGTGCACTCTTTATTTATACCTGGACCACTTAAAAAGTGTTAACTTTGAAACCTTTATCAACCGAGCAGACCAGAGCACTCAAGAGAGATTGTCGTTTTCATTCTAAACTGTAAAATTTCTCCATGGTGTTTTTAATTTTTTTGGATTGTTACGATTTATATATTTTTGGAAATGTTCAGAACTGCAATTTTAACTAACAATCCGTTAGAAATTACTACCTTTTTTGCGATTTTTCAGTATTAAAAGATAGCTATAAGAATGTAGAAGGTTTTCAATTTCTCAACAAAAATATTTGCATGCATATCGTTTCCTAGATCAATTTCAAGGTACAATTGGCAAAAAAATGGCTAGTACTAAAAATTAGTACTAATTGTTAAAAAAAAACAGTTCTTTTCGAGAAGAGCTAATATAATCTCTTATAGGTAAACTCGTACGAGGAAAATGATGGGAGTGTATTTCTTCCAGATGAGGTTTGAGGAATTCATAGATCAAAGTTAATTTGAAATTTACCCAACAATAGGGATTTAAGATTTATTAGATTACATATAAACTATTGTATATCACATGTTGGTAGAACAAATTTAAATGGAAAAAAGGGTTGGAAATATTTTTTATCTGTAAAAATGTTAAATTTTCACTTCATAAGTTGGTTTTTAAATAACTGGTGAAACTATTTGCTTTATGGTAGTATCAAATACTAAATTGCTAAAATATCGTCTTCTTTTTCCACAGTTTTATGGGTTTTACCAAGGTTATAATGCAAGGAAAGTTATTTCAGAGGTGTACGCATTTTTTGTACTGCAGTGTACTGTCTCTGGGTGGTAATGTAAACACAAGACGGATTTCGAAGCCTGACATGGGATTCATCTTTCTCATATAAAATCAATGAAATATTCAGGTCATATGAAAATATTATGTAAATTATCAAAATCATAAAAATTTAATGCTTTAACCTCCTCGGATACTAAACGAACACTGATGCATCTATTCTTGTTTACAAATTCCGCCCAGAGAGAACTGGTTTCAATATGTACGCAGAGTATACGCAACTGCAATTAACTTTCCTTGCATTATAACCTTGGTTCTTAGTGTACAATGGTAACATTTTTTGTAAACGCAGCATCCGTTTTTTCTCCGGTGCACCTCGTGAAAATTCCTGAACATTCTCATTTGAATTTTGAATTTCTGAAAGGAAGTTATTGAGAAGGAAGAAGAACAAAGATCAATCAGGAATTAAATATTTTTTATTCTTAACAACGCTATTTAAATCATTAATAAAAGATTTTTCTGGGAGGATAGTTAGGATCCTTTCTTTCATTTCTTTGTCTGATCGACATAATCCGTTTTAAACATTATCTATTCTAAACCTAACCCCCCCCCCCCTCCTCAACCTTAGAAATTTATTGTAAAAAGAAAACAAAAGAAAAAAGTTAAAAAGACAAACTTTCCCCCATCTCCCGGCTTCGTGTCAATGTCTGTCTTAAACTGTTTCTCTTTAGTTTAGGGAACCATGAACTCCTGTATGCCAAGTCCATCAGCGCCTGATCCAATCAGGGTTCAGTCACGTGTTTGTTGTCTATTCTGAACCAATAGAAATTGTAAGGTGGTAACATCTATCTTTCTATCTGTCCCATTATCCAATCAGAGTTAAAAATGCTTGAATCGGCGCTATCAGTAAATGGAAATATTTACTTCTACTGAGACTATAGTGCATGAACTAAGCAGGGGGATAAATATTGAATTGGTTGAAGTCAGAGTTGGAAATATCTGGTTCTTTTCTCCTTCTGTCTGGGAATTATTTCCCCCCTTGGAATCCTACTCTCCAGGTACCCCCCAGGGTTTATCTCAAAATATGAGAAAAAGAGGGACGGCATTTTGTATTGCATTTTTATAAATTCGTCATCCATGCTTTAGTTTTTAGGCCTAGCAAGGGTAACTTGTCTTTACAGTATCATTAATTGTGGACAACCCAATACATATACACGTTTTAAATCTTTTCCCCAAATATTACGGATTAATTGTAATTTCTGTAGATTTTAAAAAATGTGATAATAAATGTTCTAAACTGTTTATGATGTTTTATACTGTTTAGAAATGAGTTGGCAGGATGGTTAACAAGCTTGTTCATCTTTATTTTCTCCGCCCTAACCCTAGGAATATCAAGCAGGACTTTATATATAGTCATGGATTACGAGAGAGGAAGGGACAGATAAAGAGAAGTACCAGGACGGATAAGGATAAGTACCAGGACAGATAAAGAGAAGTACCAGGACGGATAAGGATAAGTAGCAGGACGGATAAAGATAATTAGCAGGACAGATAAAGATAAGTAGCAGGACGGATAAAGATAAGTACAAAGACGGATAAAGATAAGTAGCAGGGCGGATAAAGATAAGTAACAGGACGGTGAAAGATAAGTAGCAGGACAGATAAAGATAAGTAGCAGGACGGATAAAGATAAGTAGCAGGACGGATAAAGATAAGTACCAGGACGGATAAAGATAAGTAGCAGGACAGATAAAGATAAGTAGCAGTACGGTGAAAGATAAGTAGCAGGACGGATGTAGCAGGACGGATAAAGATAAGTAGCAGGACGGATAAAGATAAGTAGAGGGATAAAGAGAAATACAAGAACGTATATAGAGAAGTAAAGGGCGGATATAGAGAAGTATGAAGATGGATATAAAGAAGGTATAAAGACGGATGTGGAGAAGTATAAAGATGGATATAGAGAAGTACAAAGACGGATAAAGAGAAATACAAGGACGTATATAGAGAAGTATAAAGACGGATATGGAGAAGTACAAGGACAGACAAAGAAAAGTACCAGGACGGATAAAGAGAAATAGAAAAGACGGATAGATTTAAAGAAGCACAAGGACCATTTTATATATGACAAGACGTTTGTACAGAAGTAAACTAAACAAGGACGGATGAAGAAGGATAACTGACGGATGCAGATAAGGAAGTAAGATAAGGACATATAAGAAAAGGATTTAGGACGGATAAAGAAAGCAAATTAATCAAAAAAAGGTTCAGAAAGAAAAGAATGATCTGAAGAGAGAGATGATGAGCAAAAAGACCTTGTTGATAAATATTATAAACCTGACTCAGCTTTATTAACTAGTGTTTGGACTTATCAAGATATGCAGAAGAAAACACAGGTTATATAACTACGTATTGGATATATATATATATATATATATATAAATGAATATATATATATTTATATTTTATATATAATATATATCTATGTACAATAATATATATATCTATGTATATAAATATATATATCTATGTAATATGAGTATATCTATCTAGGAAAGACTACTCGACTATCCCTGGAGCTGTATACTACGAGGACCCGGATGATTTATTTACTACTCTCTACTCATCACCAGACAGAATTATTAACTACTTCAGCCCTTAAAGGGACTGTCAACGTAGTTTAGAGCGACCCCACATGCCTGATTTACAACAATTTAAACCTTTAATTTATCAACAATTGAAAGATATCAGGTTTTTTAATCTTAAAGTTGAAAATTCTGCCAATTTCTTTCTTTCTTCTATTTTAGAGAGAAATCACAACCTAAAATGATCAATTTTCAGAAAACAAAGATATCCGTTTCTTGTAAATCAGACATGTTCCGTTTCAAAATGAACCTAACCTGAAATTACAACGACAGTGCCTTTAATAATACCATGTTTTACACGTTTTTTATTGATTTTATAATATTTTTTTTTATGAAAATAGACGTATTTATTTTTCTTGAGTGTCTTATGTTTTTCTTCTGATCTAGGATAGTTTATTTTCTACCAGGTTATTGTGTGATTTAACTACCGTTATATCTAGAAGATGGTTTAAGAATTCACGTTTTCTGATCTAGGATAGTTTACTTGACTACTGTTATATTTAGAAGATATATCAATATCAAGTTTTCATGTTTTCTAATCTAGGATAGTTTATATAACTACCATTATATCTAGGAGATATATCAAGTGTTCATGTTTTCTGATCTAGGATCGTTTATATAACTACTGTTATATTTAGAAGATATATCAAGTTTTCATGTTTTCTAATCTAGGATAGTTTATATAACTACCATTATATCTAGAAGATATATCAAGGTTTCATGTTTTCTAATCTAGGATAGTTAATTTAACTGCCATATTTAAAATAAAGAGTAAGGTTTCATGTTTTCTGATCTAGGATAGTGTATATAACTACCATTATATCTAGAAGAATTAAGGTTTCATGTTTTCTGATCTAGGATAGTTTATATAACTACCGTTATATCTAGAAGAATTAAGGTTTCATGTTTTCTGATCTAGGATAGTTTATATAACTACCGTTATATCTATAAGAATTAAGGTTTCATGCTTTGCAACAGATAATGTGGTTTTACAATTAAACACTTCCGTCAAACTATCCTTAGTTTATAAATTTGTTAAAATGGAGATTTTCAGAAAATTTCGGATCTTTTTTATTTTTTAGAATTCAGGAATGTTACACTGTGTACACTGCACACTGTGTACACTGTGCACACTGTGTACGCTGTGTACACTGCAATAAGTTCAAGTTTGCTTTTATAAAACTTTGCTATACTTCTATCCTGAATAAAAAAAATGAAAAACAATCGAATTTTGGGTCGCTACTGGGCCTTTTTTGGTTCGCTTTTTGCCTATATTTTATGCTAGGGTCAAAATTTGGCATAGTACAGTAGTAGGCAATAATATCAATACAATGAAGACGACTTTCAATTTTGATTTGTTTCAAGCTGTTAAACAACATGGATACACTTAAACTTAGAAGTCCTGAGAAACTATCATTAAAAAAGCTTTTCTTTGATTACTTGTAAACTTGTAATTCGAAAAAAAGGTTGTTAACAATCAAAACTTAAATAAAAAAGCCGTCTTCATTGTATTGATATAAAAGCACAACAGCAATTTGGAAAACAATACACTTATACAAAATTTGGAACTTGAAAGAATATAAAGGTAAAAACGAACCAGTGCAGTGGAATGCACAGCACTACCTGCAAATTACATTATGCATTGTATAATTGCACCGTGTCGTCTGGAAAAAAATCAATCCTACTATAAATGTTAGCAATCTGCTTATTATTTAAGATTTATTAGACCCAATTTTAATCAGTATTTCTCATTGTATGAAATATTTGGGGGTTTTAGCTGTAACTACTGTTGTTCATAGGAAATCTTTGTTAAAATATCTTCAACAATTTCTAAATTCGTAAACTTATTTATAAATTTTACTTTTAATCATGTTATTGCATTTACCTTAAAAACTATTTTTTAAAGCTGACTCTTCGTCCTCGCTTACTTTCACTGTTAGTTTTTTATTCCTGGTTCACGAGTGAGAGAGAGTTGTCATACATAGATATAACCCTGTACTAGAGTTATTAGAGTTTAACGCCGTGTATTAGAATCCAGGTATAGACATATCTCCGGGTATACTGCCTAGTCTGCCATGCACGCCTAGTATTGGCTGTACGCCTGGTTACCTTTAAACAGTATTGGTTGCGGACCTGCCCTGCCGTATCCGTTACCGCTATACAACACAGCTACAGTGGTTTCTCATATGTTTACGTGAAAGGTGAAGGAATGTATCGGAGAAAGTCCGACACCCCTTTTGCTGGTGACAAAGGTGTTTGTTAGAAAAATGTAGTTTCAGAATTAAAGTGAAACCTGGAAATTATCCCTCTTCTCGCACCATGTGCAATTAAACTGGAGAAAAACTCATTTTCTTGGAAAAAGGTTTTAACCCGTCTTATCCGACAGCACTGTAGAACAGTAACTTATTAGCCTGGTTACGCTTGAACCCGGAGCAAGGTTTCCTGGAAGATCAACACCGTGAACTTATAGAGTTAGTTCAAATTTGTAGAAGAAATTATTAACAGTGAGAAACCGTCTTGTCCAGATTGTTCGTTAAATCGTTTATATTTAAGTGCATTGATCAGCTCAAGAAAACGACGGAATCTGCAAATTCTTTTCCAAGGTAGATCCATTTCCAATCTTCATATTATCCAACCAGTTTTAGTGTGTGATTACGATTTTTAACCCATAAAGGTTGATTAAGTTTCTCTTTCCGAATTTCAACATGCATATTTTGTATAATTGAGCAGAAGGGCTAAAATTTCCCCCTCTTCTTCTTTCGACCGCCTTCTCTTTTTCAAATGGGTATCTACCGTATAGGCGTTGAAAAAAGGAAATTTACAGGTCAAAAGCAGTATATATAAAAAGGGGTAAAATTACATCATATATTTTGATGAGAAGGAGTCAAAATTTTAAGGTTTTCTTTATTCTTTCTAAAGATTAAATGACCAAATGTAAGATATAATAACTAAAATATTCTCCGCCTCCCCCCCCCCTTTTTCTATCATGTTTGCGCCTCCGAGGCCCGATATAACGATGATGGAACACCTTTGGATAATGTTACATCGTCTATACGCAACATTCCCCCTACTGAACTTCTGACCTACTAACTTTCCGACCTACTGCAATATCGGATCTACGCCAAATGTTTATTTTTGTATTAGATTTGAGGGTTAGGTTAGGTTAAGCCAATTCCTGGGCCGAGCGTTGCGGCTAGGACAGGAGCTGTGGCCACAAGTCCATTTAGCAGCTGTAAAACCACGTGCTAGTAGGTCGGATGTGTAGTATAGCGGATTTGTCGTAGGTGAGAAGTGAAGTATTGCGGATTTCCGTAGGTCGAAAAATACACTGAAGTCTCATCTTTTGTACTGTTTGTCAGATGACGAATATCAGATAATCCTTCAAATTTAAAAGCTTTAATTCCTGTCAGAAAACCATAAACTTAAAAAAAAAAAAATATTTGAATAAAAACATTTTTTCTCTCACACTCTTTCTTTCCTTTGCCGTAATGTTTCTTAACAGAAAATAACGACGAATGATGAACCAAAGATAAGAATGTTATGAATGTTGATCGTATATGGCATTATTGAGTTCAATGAAATAGTGGAAGAAAAGCAATTATCTTAAAAAATTGTTTATTATCAACATATTATTTTCTTATTTTATGCTAAATTTCAACTCTGACATAAATTATGATATTTCAATGAAAATCATGTTAATTTCAGACGTTAATTTAAGTTTTAAATAGCTTTTGTTAATTTTCAGTTTTAAATCTTTAATTTTAATTTAATTTTTGAGGTTTAGTTGATTTTAACCTGTTAAAGTTCCTGCTTCAATATAAGTTGGTTCCGGATTCATGATTTACAAATCCACCTTTCCTTGCTTGACCACTCCTTCTCTTTCCAACTATTACATAATTTCCCTGAAATAAAAAGCTCTATCTCCCCCTCTCTCTTCTACACCTCCCCGCCGCCCCCTCCAACGGATCCCCTCCCACTTCCTTTTCCGACGCCACGCCTTCCGAAGGAAACTACAATTAAAACAGTATTTTCCTTCAAGCGATCTTCTACCTGATCATGGGAATTGGGGG